TTTTGTCTGTCTATTGCTGTGAAGCCGAGTATCCGAGTTTTGTATTCGTATGAATGAGAGAATCGGCGCGGCGACTACTTGTGATGCATGATGTCTATGGAAATGTCGTGTCAAGTAGAGCCGATCCGGTCTACTCCTCTTTCTCTCTCTCTCGCGCGCGCTCGCGCTGAGTGAACTCCTCATCTCGTTTGACGCTGGAGCAGCAAGCAGACAGATCGGTCCACGGCGTGGACTTCAACTGTAATTCGCGTACAAGGAAGAATAAAAGAGGTCCCGTTTTTGAATAGGTGTGGCACTTGAACGAAACCTCGCCGGATGCTGGAGACCTACCTCGGTCTTTTTCTTCTTCTTTTTCTTCTTCTTCTTTTTCCTTTTTTTCTTTCTTTACATATGTTCATCGGAATCAAGTAGAGTATTCATCTCAACAACTTTTATTGAATCGCCTCCTGTCGCCTGTTCTCACACAAAGTGGCGACGATAGTTATCTGATATCTCCGTACAGACAGGTTGAGACCCCCCCCCCCCAAATGACGTTAAAAGTCTCCGAGTCAGGATGGGATGGTCCAAGAGTACTATACAACAAGCCGCTAGAAAGAAAAGAAAGTTTACCTGCACCGTCGCTCTCCCGTCAATTAAGTGCGATAAATATAGTGGCTCTCTGACTCGGACAATACATAGACGAGAATGAGCCCATGTTCTGTCTCCGTTCAGACCAGATCGAGAAAGGCCGATGACAGGCTCGCGGATGTTGCGTTATGGCACGTTCGTTAGTCCTGAAATCTATGTGGTGTTGACACGAATGACGCCTACGGCCCACTACCATAATGATCCCATGTCTAACTGTCCAAGAAGAAAGAGAGAACGAACAAAGGTTCAGTTTTGTAACACCACTTACATTGACCGTGCACCTAAAACATGACAGCTGTCTTTTGTTGTCCTTCATCCACTTCTCTACATTCTTAGAGATAATCTCAACACTCTGGACAGGACGCTCATCAGACAAAGACAGAAAGACAAAAGCGAATGGAAAACAATAACCAAAACAAAGTGTCTGCTCGTAGTAGACAGCTGACCTCCAAAAAAAAAAGCATGTTTTGACCAAAGTCGGCTTCGACCATCCGATGAACCTGTCTCTATGACCTCTCTATGACCTCTCTGTGCTGAACGAGGTCATTGATCAAGACACTTTGACGACAGGTGCTCCCGTCAACTATATCAGACAAGCAGATCATTCAAGAATCAGATATAACTCGTACTGCTGGCAATTGTCACATGTCTAAGTAATCGCTATTATGCTCACATAAAGAAGCAACGGGGTCTCTTGATAGAAAAAGTAAAGAAGATGTTTAAAAAGGGAATAATGACGTGGCAAGTGTTCCAATACTCATACAGGCGAATCATCATTCGGCTGCCGGTCCCGCCCCCTATCCTGGGACCCGTCGCGTCCGTCATTGCCTCCACTACCACCAATATCCCTCTCCCCTTCCCCTTGCCCCGTCGTCGGCGGAGGCTCGTCTCGGAATGCAGGCCACACACTGCCGCTCCCGCTGCTACCCGGTGGATTGCTCGCGCCGTCGTCTCCTCTGTCAGGTCGCCACCACTTGAGCTTCCATATGCCGCCCAACGCCTCTTGTAGTGTGGGCTGACTGCTGCTCTGACTCTTGCGCCGACGGCGGGCTGTGAAGCCCGGAAATCCCGTGGATTTACGTCGCCTCCTACCCGGGCCGGGCCGGCGTGACGAAAGGGACTCGGAGCTGGGTCCCGCTTCTGAGGACGAAAAGAGAGGATTACCGCTACCGCTACTTACGCCACGGCGGTGCGGTAATAGAGAGGTAGATTCGGTGAGCTCGCCAGGCATAGTGCTGGAGCGCCGGCGCGAGATGGGCGGGCTGGACGTGTCGCGGTCTTCGAGCTCGCCCCAAATTTCGGCGCGCTCTTGCCATCTCCTGCCCGTCTTCTTCCGCTTCGGTGTCGGTGTCAGCGGCGTTGTCTCGCCACTGGCCACGTTAAATGTTGAGTAGGTTGTAGCTGGTAATGGGTCATCTTCTTCGTGGAGGCTGTAAAGATCATCGCCGCCCAGAAGGGACTCTTCTTCATCTTCTGTGTCCTCCACGAGGCCAAGTCCTGGTGCCAAGGATGACTGGCCCACGCCCGGCGTGTGCTGTTCGTCGCTGAGTCGCCATGACAATGCTAGCACACCGGCAAGTAGGATGACTGTCCCCAGTGCAATGAGACATGCTCGTAAGGGGTTGATCTGGTCCGTCTGCTTAAAGTATATCAAACCGTCCAGGATCGCAATGATGTTGTAGATGCAGAAAACCATGGGGTATAAAACCGAGGTCGAGACGAGCTTCAGGCCACGGTGTAGGTAGTATAATTGACTCAAAGCCAGGGTGACCAGCGCCAGCACGAGGACCCACGCCTGCCAGTGAATAAACTGGTTATTGCCGTCCGCGATCGTCTTAATGATCAGCTCAACAGCCGATTTGGCAACCAACAGCGAATGCGCCGAGAGGATACCACTTATGGCTCCGTAGGCGAGGCCGCGGACGAAGCGGAATCTCGAGTTGAGTGACAGGCTCGTGAAGTGGTCGAGGCAGTCCACACTGATGGCTATTGATAGGACGAGGAAGGCCTGCATGATCATCCATACCACGAAAGGCTTCCGACCGAGGAGCTCGAGCAGCTCCTGGAGGTTGTGTGCAGGCGCGGGAATGGCACCAAAGATGGCGATCAGCACGGCGCCCGTGCAGACGAGCAGTGTGCCCCATAGCGACCACCTCGTGAAGGGTTCGTTAAGTATAAGGGTAGCGCATATCGAGTTGAAGACGAGGCCAGAGGCCTGCAGGGTTGAGAGTACAGGGAGAGGAAGGGTCGAGATCTGGACGGAGCTACCGAGCAGGTTTGCGGCGATGAACATTCCCATCCCCAGCTGCCATTTCCCTCTCCGATACGGTGGCCGACGTATTTCGTGTGGACCCTTTTCGTCTTCGAGAATGTGTGATTTTCGTTGGAGCGTGAGACCCAGGCTCTGGACGCTCGTGGACAAGAGACCAACGATGATTCCTATCTGCGCGAGGGGCAAAATACAACGTTAGCGACGGCTTTTTGGTCGTTCAGCGAGCGACAGAGGCGCAAAAGGGAGGCAGATGCGTACGGCGATTGTCCCCCCAGGGGAGATGCCGCCGAGGGACCCCATTGCACGCGCAAGGAGCTAGCCGTCGGTCATCTGGCGGCGGTCGAAGTTGAAGCAGCGGCGGTCGGTCTCATGGATTTATTGTCGTCCGTTGTTTTCTGTATCCGCGCAGCCGTGTGTGTCGTCCCGCCGGTATCCTAGCGGCACGTTCGTTAGATGCGCAGCGTCTCTTTTCGCAATAAGGACCAGATGAAATCGACTCCGGCGGCGGGACGGAGGGAGGGGGAATCGAACGCTTCGGCAGGATGGAGAGGGCGGGACAGGTACCGGTGCAAACGAGGCGTCTGCGATTTGCTTCAACGTTGAAGATTGGAGATGGTGTGGTTAGGTAAAGTTGTCCGACGGGTTGTGTCTCGCCACGCTTGCGAAAATGGTGACTTTGGTGTCGCTTCCCTCCAATAGCCGCCAAGAGAGAGCTTGCAGATGGGTTTCAAGTTCGGATGCGCGTCTAAATGGAAGCGACAAAGTCGGAACGTCAGAAGGTAGGTGCTCCGTCTTCCAGGCCGGCTATCCTCTCCGAGAAATTGCTGGTTGCGTAAACCTGACCAATACAGCGTTATAAAATACCGAGTTTCCACATGGCCGGAGTCGGTGAACAGGTCTCTGGTGTTAGATGATGGCTCAGCTCGAAACACCAGACAGACGTACGTTCGCTATGCACCGACGCAATGGCCGCTCTCTGTTCCCATCGGTGTAGGAGAGGGTCGGGGTGGTCTGGCCAGGACGGAACTAGGAAGGGGGAGATGCCGACTGCACCAAGCAACCCAATCACCAAGCACAAGGTACGGTCAAGCACAATAGTGCAGCAGCAGCAACCCACATCACACATCCCAGTGATCTCAAGGTAGGTACCTCGCCCGCAGCAACCAAGCAGCAAGGGACTCCCGCCGCTCTCCACCTCTCCAGGTGCCGCCTGCATTGCATTATTCAGTTCAGGTACTCCGCGTCTAGCCCCTTTGCACCTTTGCCATGCGCTATTTTGGTAGGCGGTGAGGTAGCTCAGCTGGGTGCATGACTGTGGTGGGTGAGGCGGCTGTTCCTCGGGCAATCATCACCTGACGTGACCGGATTATCTTATCGCTCCTTTCCCTTCACCTGCCCGATTCCATGGCGGAAGGTGAGGTCTGGTGGGCCTTGGGACTCCTAGGCCTCGCCAGCCTCCGTGATGTCACAGCTTGAGAAGGAAACGTGGCTGGAGGAGTGGACAAATGCCACCAGTACCTTAGCAGCCGCACAGACCAGATGTGGCACAGGTGCAATCTGAGCCCCTTCCCGTATCGCACCCACCCACCCAGCCAAGCAAGCAATCTGTGGCTGATGGGACGAATGGATACCTGCTATGTGGTTCCTGAAGCTGGGGGGCCGAACGCCCAGTGATGCGCTTGCTACGCGGCTCAGAGCACCTTAGGTAGTCGTAGTAGGCCTCGTCAAACAACAGCTTCATTCAACCACCGCAATCCGATCCCGATTCTCCCCCTCCCCCCATCGCGAGACTTCCTCCCGACGGGCTCCCCACCAGCTGCTCTCTACATCCCACGCGATATCATCATCGCCCGTCGTCCTCTCGTCTCCGATAAACCTAATTGATTCAACAAAAGTCGCTCACGCAGCCGCCCCCCCCCAAAACCGCCCATCATGTCTCACCAACCGTTGACGGACGACCAAGTAAGCCCCTTCCCCGTCCACGCCTCACATCGCAAACATCGTAGGGGCTCAAACCGAATATCCCGATGTACACGAACGCACACGAGAATGAGGGGGAGATGGAGATAAAGATGGACAGACGCAGCCCGGCTAACCAGACATGGCGTGCACCAAACAGGTCGGTCAGGAGCTCCGCAAGATGACCGCTTTCATAAAGCAAGAAGCAATGGAAAAGGCCCGCGAGATCGAAATCAAGGCCAACGAAGAGTTCGCAATCGAAAAGTCCAAGCTCGTCCGGCAGGAGACGGACTCCATCGACGGCCAGTACGAGAAGAAGTTCAAGCAGGCACAAATGTCCCAACAAATCACCCGCTCCACCGTCTCCAACAAGACGCGGCTCAAGGTCCTCGGTGCCCGCCAGGAGCTCCTCGACAACATCTTTGAGGACGCCCGCAAGAAGCTCGCCAACGCCACCAAGGACAAGGGCAAGTACCAGGCCACTCTCAAGAACCTGATCCTCGAGGGCCTCTACGCTCTCTCCGAGCCCGAGGTCGTCGTCCGCGCACGGAAAGCCGACTTTGATGCCGTCAAGAAGGCCATCGACGAGGCCACCAAGGAGTACAAGAAGGAGGTTGGCAAGGACACCACGGCCAAGCTCGACGAGTCGGACCCCCTGTCCGCAGAGAGGTACGTGATATTCAAACGAGGATCGGGCAGACATATCACGATGACGTATCATGGTGCTAACAAACGAGGTAGCGCTGGAGGTGTTTTCGTCATCGGTGGAAAGGGCAAGATTGAAATCAACAACACATTCGAGGAGCGTCTAAACCTCCTCCAGGAGACCGGTCTGCCGGCCGTCCGAGAGACTCTGTTTGGCAAGAACCCCAACCGCAGATTCACTGACTAAACCACCACCCTTTTCCCATAAGTGCGCCTTGCAAAAACCCTGTATAGCCCTTTTTATCTCCCTTGGGGCTGGACACACTAAACGCTGCATGAAGGATTCCCCGGCGCCTACCCTGTTTCAAACTCCTTCCTGTGGTGTATCTTAGATGCTGTATGATGGTGGCCAACCCTTGGCGTATTAGGTAGTTATCGTTGCAACTACGAGTTCGTTATCATCTTAACCTATTGCCGTAACGAAAGTCTCATCCTCGCTTGAAGCTGGCTCGACGTTGGTATCTATCTCGGACGGCTTGTTCTTCCGAGAATGCACGAATCTTTGCAGAAACTCTTGTTGGCGCCTCTTCTTGGCCGACGACGGACCCTGATCTCCGAATATGCTCTGTGTCGGCGGGCGTTTGGTTCTGACCGAGTATGTCAGACGCTCTCCAACCCATTCGAGCACGCTCTTGGCCTCTGTGCGGGCCAAGTTCGCAGCTCCTGTGTCGTTGATGCCTCGCCAGATGGCCTTGAGACGTTTCGCCAGATCGTCAATGTTACTGTTGAACTCCTTTTCGTAGTCCGAGTCCTCGTTATCATGCGCGAAAGCCCCATCATCCACTGCCATGTCGAGGAGCTGGACCAGAGCCTTCAAGTTCACATAGTCAGTCTTGTTGTTGATCTTGAAGTCACTGTCCTTGACCCGGGCAATGACGAGGCGAAGGCTAATGACATCGTCGGGGTGCTCATTTGCTAGAGCAGCGTCTCGAAGGAAGAAGGCGACTGCTAGGCGTCTGCGCAGCTCGTGCAGCTTCCGCGAAGTGACAGGCATGCAGATGAGCGGCAACATTCGCAGCGAGGTCTTGTCGAATCCATGATAAAGAGACGAGCAGGTCTCGGCGCACTATGACAGGCCATATTAGCAACAGCATCAACTTGACACCCGGGGGATATACTTACAAACTCATCCCAGGCACTATCCTCGACAGTATCGACCAAGGCTGCCAAGGCATCCTGATGGCGCGTGAGAACATCCACATTCTCGACGATCACCTTGTCAGCTGCCATGCGCAAGAGCATCTTGACAGCGTACGCAACTGTTGCATAACTAAGATGATGTGCCACATAGGAAACCCATTCCAAAAACGACTGAAGAGGTTCCCATTCGTAATCGGCGTAGATATCTCGGCTTTCTCGCACCGGTCGTAGTACCTCGTCTCCTACATGGTCCGCTGCGCCCAATCTCTTCAAGCACTCTTCGAACTTCTGAGACGTGATCAGACGCTTGACCTGTTTGCCATTGGCAGTGACGATCTTGCTGTATTCCTCCCGAAGAACACCAACTCTCTCAACAGCAACCATATCCAAGATCCAGAGATATAATTCGTCCGGAAACCTGACATTAATGGCAAGATTGCTCGGCATCCCCGACATGATGTGTCGGTCTCTGGTACCAGGTTTATCGAGAAAAGACCAGGGACCCTTCGCAAATTTCTTCGGGAACGGAGGAGGTTCATCTAGGCCGTGAATGTCCTTTTTGAAAAAGTACCATCTGGTCCTCGAGGCACCGGCATCCGTTCGTTCCATGGCCCGGAGAGCCTTGTCCGCATCTTCCTCAGTCTTGACACCAGCAATCTCGATCAGCTTCTGGCGAGCTTTGCTGGGACTTTCTTCAACATCCACCATGATCTCATCCTTAGGTGCAGGCTCAGCCGGTCGTCGCGGGCTGTCGAACAGCACATCGTGCCTCCTCGAATGGGCGTCCAGCGTCTTGAAGTCGAATTTGTGCTTCGGCTGGATGGTGAGAGGTGACTTGTGAACCATCCTGGCCCGTCTCTTGGCCTTTGGCGTGCCATCAGGCCTGGGTTTGGTGGGGCCAAGCATGTCGAGATCCGGAAAGGAGTCATCGGACAAAGAACCGTCGTCGTCGTCGTCATCGGACCCTTTGATAACTGCATCCCTCGTGAGAGTCGGACGCTTGTTCGCAGTCGGCGGAGAAGATGGAAGGGCCGGGGAGCTGGGTAGACTTGGAAGTGACGGCAAGCTGTTGGGGGTTCCATCGACTTTCGGATCCCCTGATATATCGCGCTTCGGCGTGCGTTGCAGCTTACCTTTCTGCAATGAGGGTAGCTCGGGCAGATCACCGGCTGGAGGGGAACCTGTTGGGCTCTCGCTGGCTGTCTTCCTGCCTGGACTCTGACCAAAGAGCAGCCTTCGTGGGGTTGTTGGCTCCTCAGGCTCAAGAGAGACCCGAGGAGACGATGGTAGCGATGAGAAGCGGACCTTACGCGGCGAGCCGGTACTTCGACCTGACCGTAGTATTTTGGGAGTTGAAACCCCCTTCGGCGTGCCAGATCGTGACCGCTGTGATCTTTGCCGTAGTGGCGTTAGGCGAATGACACGCCGCATGGCTGGAGACAGAACTGGGGTATCTTGAAGTTCGGATAAGGATGACATGGAGGCATTGAGATCTGATGCCGTGAGGGCAGGCCGTTGGCCGGCTGATGAGTTTGCACCTTTGCCAGGAGAAATTTTGGCGATCTTGAGATTCTTGTTCTCATCGAGGTCTCTGTTTGGCGGGTGATTCTTGCTCATGACCGTTTTCACATCTCGGGCAGGAGCGCGGGTGGGCAGGAGCTCCTGGGTTGCTGCCGAGGATTGAGATGCAGAATTTTGAGAGGCCTGTGAGGAGGAAACGGCAGGTGCGGCCTTCGTAACAGCGCGGCCGGCACCAAAAAAGCTTCTGATATCGCGATTCTTGTTCACATCTGCCTGGGCGGTGTTGGCCGATTTGCGAGCCATGGCGGATGAGAGCAGGCGCCTGCAGCCTTGTGCACAAATCTGACCACGCAAGTGTCTGTTAACCCAGGCTACTAAGAAACCAGCGGGCTAAAGACAAACGTGCCTTTCAGGATGTGTGGAGAGTCGTGATAGAATATTGGTTTACATAATTCACTGAGGTCGGATACAGCTGTAGTTGGGAGGCTCGGGAGTCCGACGCGTGGGTGACGCTTTTCGCGTTGGGCGTGGTTCGAGGAGCATTTAGTGGAGACCACTTTAGGTGTCGTCTTATCTTATCAACCCTTATGTCATCAGAGCACCCCTTTGGAGAGAGGCTCTCTAGAACAATGGAACGTGTGCGGCCATTCTCGACTCGGAACATGGATTTCAGTAGGTACAAAGCATCAGTTTGGTAATGAGAAAGAAACTCGATGATTCATTCCCCCCCCTCATACTCTCGTTAGGACGGGATCATTCCCTTTTAACTACTGCGTTCATACACATGGTAGAGGGGTTGGCGTCTCAAACCGCTCGCACTTGGGCAAGCGATGTATGTAGCTGCGACGTTGCTTGTTGATTTTGGTGAGATATTGAACGAACAGTCAACAGTTGACACCTACCAGCAAGCATCCGGGTACCAAAGTGGCAGTCCACGTTTTATTGCTTCTTTTCTCTGCCAAAGCTCACCTTGGCTGCGGCACATGTGAGGCCCGGCGATGACTCGACTCGGGTTAGTGTCGGACGAACAGAGGTTCGGCAACCGTGGGGCGGCGGAGATGATTGCGACGGCGGAAGCTACGGATAACGGGAGTAAAAGGATTTCGGAGGTGCATCAAAAACGGATTTGATCATTCATCACCGCGCAGGAACGCGGGCAGCGGACTGCTCAGCAGTCCACAACCCCGGGCTGTCAATGAAGAGCGGCCAAGAGGACGACCCCGACGATCCCCAGCGCGAACCGTTGGAGACCGCATCCATCCCTCGAGATTTTTTTCGCGGTTTCAGGGGCCGAAAAGGACTCCGGAATAGGGGCCATTGTGGTCCTGGGATATCGTTGCGGTACATGACTGCTTAGTTTAGGAGTTCCTGGGCGACGTGAACAGGTAGTCGTTTGCCGTGTCCCGTCCCTCATTCCCCCTCTTTTTCTCGCACATCCACGATAGCCAGTAAAGGTCCTGGCCCTGCAGACAGTCCTTGGCCACGCTGCCCAGACGCTTGGAGCACACTCGAAAACTTGCTGAGTTTGTCATCAGACCAAAAGTTGCTCAGGGAACCCATCTGTAAAGGTAGTGGTCCGGGTCAAAGGTGCATCGTTGAACCTGTTCCAGGACCTTGGGCCGCGATCAAAGCGATCATCCTAGAAGGTTAAATCAGCCTGCGTCCCGTGTAAGCCGTCTGGCCTCCGCTTGTACGTTTGAGAAGGGCTTGCATCAGAGGGGGCGTGGGGATTCCAGCGCGAAGCCACATTCTGTCTCCCGCCTCCCATCTACTGTCCTCCGTCCGTTTCCTTGCGGCAAAAGACTGAATCCCAGAGAGGTCCTGGATTGGATGAGAACAACCTTGTGTTAATCGACGTAGGTACGAAATCTGGGTGTTGGCTTCAGCGGGTTCCGCATCTGATTTTGAGTCGCACAGAATTCTCGAGGCAGAATCTGCGCGACAAACGCGGCTTAGAAGAGAAGATCCTCAGTAGCCACAGCTGCTTACAACTGTTCTGCCCTTTGATGCCCAAGCAAAAGCCCACCTATCGAGCTGCTCATGGTGTGGTGCTTGGCGCGTTTTCTTGGGGTACATTGTGATACTTTCTACTCGTGCCATTCAAGGGCGGCGTCCGCTTGTGAGAACGGCGCGCGAGAGTCTCACTCGTCCCACTCTCGTCGTCCTCGGCGTCAAAATGGGCTCCGTCCGCGCCGTGAATGCGTGGCTATTTAGTGCGTCCTGCAAATCCCGCGCCCCCCGGTCCTACCTCCGAATGGACATATCGCAAGCCCCGAAGGCCCGACTCTGCATACGTCCCTCCACTTTCTGATTATATCCCAATTGAGATGTATGCGGTAGTAGTACGCTCATTGCTAGTAAATGCGGCAGTATGCCCCCTTGGAATGAACCCCTTCAAGTGGAGTCTCACTCGGAGATAGAACTGCTTGATGCAAATGGCTGGACTGATCAATGGTGCTGACGAGGAGGAGCCTAGAAGGTGAGGCTAGCTGACTGATGTGACGGCTACCTAATGCTCGCCGGCCT